CCCAACTCTCCAGCGTGTCCAGGTCTCGTTGTATGTCAGCCACTCCTGGTGGCTTCTGGTGTGTCAGCCACTCCTCCCAACTTTGTATCATCAGCAAACTTGCTGAGGGTGGATGCTACCCCTACATCCAGGTCACTGATAAAGATGTTAAACAAGACTGGACCCAGTACCGACCCCTGGGGAACACCGCTGGTTACAGGCCTCCAACTAGATTCTGCGCCACTGATCACAACCCTCTGAGCTCTGCCAGTCAGCCAGTTCTCAATCCACCTCACCGTCCACTCATCTGTCCCATACCTTCTAAGCTTTGCTACAATGATGTTGTGGGATATGGTATCAAAAGCCTTGCTGAAATCAAGGTAGACAACATCCACTGCTCTCCCCTCATCTACCCAGCTGGTGATGACAACATAGAAGGCTACCAGATCGGTCAAGCATGATTTCCCCTTAGTGAAACCATGTTGACTACTTCTAATAACCTTCTTTTCTTCCAACTGCTTAGAGGTGGTATCAAGAATGAGCTGTTCCATCACCTTCCCAGGGATGGAGGTGAGGCTAAAAATGCTCTTCATAGTTTAAAAGGCATCTCAAACAACTACATCTGGGTTTTTTTAAGCAGGCACTGAAGTATTGTTTCCTGTCTCCTCTACTGAAGAGGATGGCTACAACAATACCATTCAGATTAAAAAAACATAAAATTAAAAACCCCAAAACAGTAATTCTCACCCAGTAGCATGATGCAAGAGAAGCTCATGCCTCAAAGGGAAAACCGAGCACTTCAGTCACTCTTGAGGTTAAGCAGATTGATGCTTCTGACCAGAACTAGACTTTCCATCTATCCTACTTTCCTGGTTTTTGCTAGGATAGGATTAAACAAATTAATTGTTTTCGAAGACACCTCTGGGAACGAACTGTATTAGCAGGAGAGAACAAGCAAGCGGTTCTCCTTTCCTCACCAGCCAAAGCAACAGCTGAAGTGAGGTCAGCCAAAAGTACTGCACCTTTTTTATTTTACAGGAATAAATGTCACCCCTGTTGAGACTCTGCATTTTGCTTTGGTTTGAAGCTCTTGGAGGCAGCTGACCCTGGGCCTCACAACCTCCTAGAACCATTTTGTAGGTGGGAGTTTCCCTGACAGTGGTTTGTTGATTATCTTGGACAGGGGGTGACTAAATGATCAGCATTCTTGTAGAGTGGGCCAGTGTAAGTGTAAAAAAGGATTGTGTTGAAGAAGGGGGTGTGCAAGGGAGGAGAGGAATAGCTTGAACAGGATCTTAGTTCCCTTCAGAAATGGGAAGGGTCTGAAACATTTACTAGCGGGAGATCAAAAGCAGAGAGAAAATGAGCAGCTGCTCAAACTAAAAACTGCATCGAGCTCATGCTCTCTACTCCCCCAGAAGTGAGGAGTAAATCACATTGGGATCAGCATCCCTCAGTGATCAGTGTTTTTCCAGACAGATTCCTCCCTCCCTCCCTCAGCCTATCAACCACCCCTTTGAACTCAGGCCAATCTGAGAACATAAGTTCCAAGGGTTTTTTTTTAAGTTAGGTTTATTTAGTAATAGAAGTATGTACATGTAAGAATCCCCTGCAGCACGAGACATGCATAAAGCAGTGAAGGACTGAAAGTGGTGCTGCTCAATGGCCCTCCTCATCACCTGTCATCCCACTTTACTCAGCAGCAGGGCCAAGATTAGAAAGGGACAGGTGAGAAATTTATCAGTCCACGTGGCAGAGTCTTCAGGCAGAGCCTTCCCAGCAACCAGTATTAAAACAAGCGGGCGCCATAGCCAAATGTCTGTTTAATGCCCTCAAAGTAGTAGCGCTGCCAGCCTTGCTTTGTTCTTTCCTCCTCACTGGCAGGAACGCCCTTGCCTTCCAAGCACACCTCTGTCTCACCACCTTTGTCAGTGAAGTTCAGGGTAATTGTTGCAAAGTGCCCTAGAGGAACCAAAGCAAATCTGTCAGCAGTGTGTAGGACAGTATATACTGCCCCCAGGAGCTCTGCTCCTCCTTCCCAAAGGATCTATTTATGACAGCTGCAGGCCTTCCTGAGAAACAGAGGGAGGAGAGGGCTCCCTCTTCATGGGGTTCGAAGCAGTTGCAGCCACAGCTGAGCAAACTGCTACTTCATCATTCCTCATCCCTGGCCGCTGCTCTAAGCAGTGGCTGATGATTTCTGACCTGCTTGTGTGGGATATGAAACTGGGATAAGGCTGGTGCAGCTCCCAGAACACCATGTGCTACCCCATCACAAGCCAGAGTGCAGTGTGCCCAATGGGGCTGGAATTCTTCAAACACATGCAAGGGCTGTAACACCATAGTCCATTTTTGGACTACTTACCAGCTGGCCAAGATTTAAATCTCCATTTCATAACAAGTTGCTTCTCAGGGACCTTGAAAAGAGAGTGAAAGACTGAGTAGTAATTTTTTGCCAATCCTGCAATCTAATAGAAAACAACTAGAATTGTGTTGATCCAAGGTCTTAGAGACCCTTTAAGAAACACACAGAAGGAAAGAGGTTTTAAGTGTCCTTTTCTTTCCAGTCCTCTTCTAGGCTACAGTATAGCCCCAAACACTGAGACAGTGTGCCTGTGCAGGAGACTTTCATGGCAGGAGGGCTAAGGAGGAAAAGGGTCACTTACTATCTTTAACACCCCTCCTTCCCATAATAAATAAGTAAAATCACACAAAGACAGGGCAGATGCATGACTGGAAGCCAGATTTTCTCCCCAGACTGAAGTCCCATGCATCAATCCATACTACAAGGAATGCTTCAATAGCTACAGCAATTACAGATAACTGTTTGGCACCAGGCAAAACTCCATAGTGAGCTAACTGAAGCATTGTAACAGAATTGATACCTTAAAAATAAAAACACTGTCCCTGAGCAAGACACACGTGCAGTAGTTAGTACTTACTAGGTCAACAAACTCTCCTGTGACACTGCCATCCAGCAACTGAAACTTGCCTCCTTTATCAGCTTCCAAGGCAGCTTGTGCGTGGGTGAAAGCTTGGACCATCTGAAAAGAATTCAGGAAGAGACCTGTACTACTTGACATTATCTGCTTGCAAACTTGTTGCCTAATGCCTCCCACCCAACTACAAACGTCCTGAAAGAAGAGGTAAGTCAACAGTCTAAGATCTTCATCAAGAAAAGACAAAAACCCTGCCCTGGCCAGAAAAGTAAGGTTATAGCCACTACAGTAGCACTCTGCCTGCCAAGGGAAAAGAAGCCCTAGCTTTCATATTCTATCCAGTGTTCTGTAAGCCACACTCTGATGTACTCTGTTGATTCCATAATGAAAAAAAAAAAAAAAAAGGAGGCACAAAAGACTAAGAAACCATGTTTAAATAATGATACAATGCTGCTCTCTCTTTTTAAACTACGTAGTAGTGTGCAGGAGAGGGGAAACTATTCCCAAAGTCTGCTTTGATACCACCTAACCTTAAAAGGGAAAAACAAAACAAAACCAAAAAGCACACAACTGTAAATCCCAAGAGATCTGACCACATGCAGTAAGGGATACACCTACAGATAGGTGCTGACAGCAGCCTGGAACTGCCTTCTGGCTGGCATTAATCCTCTCTTGTCAACTGTGTGAAAAGGGGCACACATGAGCTTTAAGCAACTGTTCTGCAGACCAGCCTGCTTATTCCATTCTCATGGATTGTGTGTCCTACAGAATGCCTCAAAGAGCTTCTTAGGAGCAAAGAACAATTCTCAGAACAAGCCTGGCATTACCTCCTGGGTAACAAATACCCGGTAGAGCTCCTCAGGAGATGTTAAGAATGTGTCCTTTAAGCTGATCTTGCATGTAGGGATCTTGACTCCTACAGATTTGGACTGTGATGAGGCAGTACTGCTGCTAGCAGCCGTCTAACAAAACAAACACATGCATACTTTTTTCACAAAGAATTCAACGAGCAGTTCACATATCCAAGAGAAAAAACAAAAGCCCTTTGCTAAAGATGTAATTAGGTACAACCATATTTGAGTGTAAAAAGCAGATTTATAGCTCTGCTTGAATTACGAGGTATGATGTGCTGCAAAGCAAAACAGTCAGGCCAGACTGACTGACATAATATACACACACACAGACTATAACCAGCATAGGTTGCTCCTGTAAGCCCTGGAATCTAATCCTGTGTACTTTTCTTCACAGATCCAAAAGCATGTTTGCACAGTTGTATTTACCTTGCGGTCTTCTGCTTTAGGAGCCACCTGAGGTGTTGTTTCCATATGTTCACCATTCACTGTGGGCAAAATCATGCCCTGGGTGAATTCTGGAAAGAGAGGAATGTGCCCATGAAACTAGTAAAAGATCAAGTAAACCTTTTAACTGTTCTTTGAAATACATAATCAAAAAGGGCACCCTGGTTCCTCCCCTGCTCTTGCTAGCACCCACAAATTGAAACAGTTTACTTTTTTTAGCAATTAATTCTTCTTGCCCTCGCTACTCTCCACTTAAAGCCATATCGGAACCTGCCAACGCTAACAATAAGGAACTTGCCTCCCCTTCCCAGCCTAGACTGCTCACTGTCCTACTGATAGCAGGATCCTACCCATCTCTATCATCCACATGTTGCTCTCATATTAATGTTAACATTACACTTATGTAGCTTCTTCTTCTCTCTCACTCTCTAATACAAACAGCAATCACATCTCAAATACTTTTTATCTTGCTGATCTAGATGAACCAGACCAAGCCTTGCCATTTATTTTCAAACCCGCTCTCCATTTCTCATATCACTGTAGTAGAGAATAAAGTTACTTCTAACTCCATCTTCTATTTATCTTTTTTTGACACCAGGTGCCAGGACTACACACAGAAACGCAGAGGTCTCACCAGCGCCCTGCCCAGCACCACTAGCACTTTTATAACTCCACCAGAAGCTTCAGCCTCTTTCAGCATCATGTTTGCTTTTTCTCCAGCTCTGTCACTTCTGCCTTCACCAATTATAAAACAGTTTCTCCTTCTTCCTCATCTGTTCAAACTGGCAAAATTCCATTATATAGCAGAATTTTATTATGTGTATAAACTTGTATCCCACAATACTTAGTTCCCACCTATTATTTATTCCAGCCCACAAGCTCATACAGTTCCTCCTGAATAACATTCTCATCTTCTACTGGGTGTCTGCATCTCCTACTCTGAACACTAAAACACTTGAAAAAACCCCAGGGTACAGAAATCTGATCCTGCAAAACCAGTAACCAGTGGCGGTTTGTACTCAGCAAAACCTGACTATCTACCGTGTGTAGCATAATATAGGTAAATGGATTTAAAATCAACTGTAGTGTTCCCAGTCTGTACTAGAAAGCAAAGGCAAACTCAACCAAAGTACACTGATTTATCTCCAACTGCTGGAATCAGATTTATATTCTAAAAAAATATATAATTTTGACCCAGATGCTGAGACAGCTCATTCAACGACACCAACAAAACTTGCAGAGTGATTTCCAGTTGTCAGTTATTCTCAAATCCAAGTAGCACTAGATGTCTTTACTAGCATGAAAAAAGCAAAAATACCAACGAAGTAGACAGAAGACATCATTTTTCAAGGGAGTAAGCAAACTAAAGGCCAGTTTGTGCCAAGTGCAGTGACTGATACTCTGTGTCGCTGAGGTAGCAGACACATTTTACTGGCTTTATTTTCTCTGTAGCTGAGCTTCAGCATGTGAAGGACAGTCTCAGTTTTAAAACTTGTTTTAAAACATTAAAACAAATATGCTGTTTATTATTGGGTTATCAGCAAAACCAGTCTTTTTGGACTATGCTACAGTGTCTAGAGATAGAACCGCTTCTTGACAAATGCTAATCATTTTCAAAAGAGACAGAAAAGTTACAGTTGTTGCTATGACACCTTCCTGTTGAGATGGAGTGAGGAATACTCACTCTCCTCAATACCTCCACCCCTTCTTTAGCATTAGCCCATATGAGTTCTCCTAACATTTCTCCCTCTCAGTTACATACCTGTTTTGAGAGTGCTAATGTAAGTTTTAATTGCATCTCTAATTTTTTTTGTACCCTCTTGCTTCATCAGGGTCTTCAAGTTAGTGTCAGGCTCATCTTTAGCAAGGCTGACATGGATCTAAACAAGAACAAGTGCTGATTAACAAAGCCATACTCACACGATCCTTTTATTATCTAAATCAACATCACAGACAGACTTCAGCTAAACTTTCACAAGCAGCAGTGAAGTTTTATTAATCTTTCACTTCATCTCTCTCAGCGTACTGTAGTGTACACATGTACCTATATACCTTAATGTGCTATACAGCCCTTGTATCTAGAAAACAGGAATTAATCTGATAAAGATACAACGTGATGGGGAGGGAGTGTAGCGATAGGATGAATGGTAATGGTTTTAAACTGGAAGAGGGTAGGTTTAGATTAGATATTAGGAAGAAATTCTTTCCTGTGAGGGTGGTCAGACACTGGAACAGGTTGCCCAAGGAAGTTGTGGATGCCCCCTCCCTGGAAGTGTTCAAGGCCAGGCTGGATGAGGCTTTGAGCAACCTGGTCTAGTGGAAGGTGTCCCTGATGATGGCAGGGGGGTTGGAACTAGATGATCTTTAAGGTCCCTTCCAACCGAGACCATTCTATGATTCTATTAACTTCAGCAGTCTCTAACACTAAAAAAGTTCTACACAAGCATTCTAAAAAAGGTAATGCAGAGGGAAATATTAATGCTGTGAGGATTCCTGTTAGAACAGCCATACAGCCAGCAGTATTAGCCTTTAGCTGTGCTCACCTCAACTTCATCAATGTCATTTTCATCTGAGAGATTAGGAATCTCCACATAACCTTTGTATTTCACTCCCGTCTTTGAGGTGCCTGCAATTACAATTATGTTGTTCAGATCAACATTTCTTATTCTGGTTGCTGCAAAAGCAAAGTTGGATTGCAGCACAATACAGTAATTCCTTTTATTATTATTTCCCAAATAGGTAAGTCTCCTTATCCTTAGTATTATCCCTGAAACCGGAGGGGAGAAGATGACTCACCAGTCCATGCCAGCTTGATGGCCCACTCGTAGAAGAAGATAAGTTTCCCTTTGCGGTTGTTGATGGAGGCCTCTCCGTCCAGCTTGCTGACCTCTGTCACCTCGCAGGCCCCCTCCTCGCCCTCCACCCGCACGGGCAGCAGAAGAGCTTTCAGCCGCTCCGTGGACCAGTTGGAGGCATCCCGCTCCGTCCTGCCGGGACCCCGGCCGCTGTGAGGGCCGGGGACAGGCCGCACCGCCCGCACACAGCGGGACCACCCGGCCCTGCCCGCCCCGCTCAGCCACACACCGAGCCCTCCCTCCCCCGGGCACCCCCACGCTCACACCGGGG